TCAATCCCATGTGTCAGCAATGTAGTGAACGGATGAGGATCCATCTGTGTTATATTCGGAAGATTGTGTACAACCTCTTTCTCAATGTACACTTCCAAACAATTTGGTGGTTGGAAACTTCCACCGATACTTAATACGGTGTTCAACGCCTCATCGTCATTTATCGGTAATATTTTGTATTTGCTGGTTGCTTGCCACTGGCGATAAGGATATCTACATTTGAAGATCAATCGGACTGTTGCCCCGTAACTTGCCACCTTGGGCATAACCATCTCCTCCAAATTGTCAAGTGTGGTGCCAAGTTACATCCCATATATCCCTTTCGGCTCAGCATCATATGACACACCGTCATTAGGATCCCGAATTATGTTTCCCCCCAGTAGAAGATAATTGGAACAGTTGCCATATACTTGCTTCAATGAAATAATAAACATTAAAATATCAACAATGACAATCTCATTTTTCTCACTTATTTTTATTCGTATAAAACAACAGCTGAGATTTCATCTCTACGTGGAGTTTTTATTTACTTCCTATGTGAAGACTCTTATCATCTCATTGTTCTTTGACAAATCATACAAACATCTTAAATCATAGTGTAAGTTTTGTAGATATTTAAATATTTCTTCCATTGAGTTGAAAAAACACGATTGATTTGGACAATATAAAATAGAGGTTGCAAACATTGTTATTAATTTTTTAAAACTGGTGATCCAATTCTTCAGATTCATGGACAATATAAGTTAATTTGATTTGCTCAAACTTGTGCCTAGGGACCTTAATGACAAAGTTATTTCCTATGTGAACTAGTAACCCTCGTCCACTTTGTAGATGTCATAGACGCTTTCTTATAAAATTAAAACAAAAAGCTCATTTTGGATCGTTCTAAAAAATAAGAAAAAAAATTTAATTTATTTACTCATTTTTTTTCTTAAACATACAAAAACAAAAAAAAAATAATTAGAGAGATAATTTATAATGGCCAAAAATTAGAGAGAATTAAATTGAAATTGGTGGTTAAATGTATGGACTAAATTTTGGATAGTTATCCATGTGAATCTATCGGGCCATCTGTACCAATTATTTTGTATTACGAAACACAGGCTTACCCATCAAAGTGCCATTTTTTTTTTTCCTTCTTACCTACGAAATTGCTATGGACTATTAATTAAAATAGTTTAAGACTCTTTTCATGCATATATTACAACTAGTCTAATAATGATTTCTAATTATGTAAATAAAAATAAAAATTATTAAAACATAATGTTTAGATTTTCCTTTTCAATGGTGGTGGACAGTCACAAAGCGGAAGTGGCGATAAGTCACTTCGTTCAATACCCATTAGAGAGAATTAAATTGAAGTTGGTGGTTAAATGTATGGACTAAATTTTGGATAGTTATCCATGTGAATTTATCGGGCCATCTGTACCAATTATTTGGTATTACGAAACACAGGCTTATCCATCAAAGTACCATTTTTTTTTTCTTCTTACCTACGAAATTGCTATGGACTATTAATTAAAATAGTTTAAGACTCTTTTCATGCATATATTATAACTAGTCTAATAATGACTTCTAATTATATAAATAAAAATAAAAATTATTAAAACATAATATTTAGATTTTCCTTTTCAATGGTGGTGGACAGTCACAAAGCGGAAGTGGCGATAAGTCAATTCGTTCAATACCCATTAGAGAGAATTAAATTGAAGTTGGTGGTTAAATGTATGGACTAAATTTTGGATAGTTATCCATGTGAATCTATCGGGCCATCCGTATCAATTATTTGGTATTACGAAATACAGGCTTACCCATCAAAGTGCCATTTTTTTTTTTTCCTTCTTACCTACGAAATTGCTATGGACTAATAATTAAAATAGTTTAAGACTCTTTTCATGCATATATTATAACTAGTCTAATAATGACTTCTAATTATATAAATAAAAATTATTAAAACATAATGTTTAGATTTTCCTTTTCAATGGTGGTGGACAGTCATAAAGCGGAAGTGGCGATAAGTCACTTCGTTCAATACCCATTTCAAAAACTTTTTCAAATTTCCTTAAGTTTTCAAAGGAAATTTTAATTTGTACTATAATGCTATTATATGTATTACAAATTCAGCTCATTAACTTTTTTAATCATATTCTGGGTGCCTGACCCCAAATATAGTAAAATAAACCAAACGAAATTAAACCAAAATTTTTTTATTTAAATAAAATAGAGTCAAAATTAAATATTTTCAGACAACATGATATTTTCATTTATTATTTTGAAGTCAATAAAAATATTTTTTTTGAATAAAATAGAGTCAAAATTAAATATTTTAGAGAACATGATCTTTTATTTGAGAGAACATGATCTTTTCATTTATTATTTTCAAGTAAATACAAATATTTTTTTTAATAAAATACATTCAAAATTAAATATTTTTTGTTTAATAATTACATTTAGTAGAAATTATACATTTTGATTCAAAAAATATAGACATTAACAATTTCTGAAGCATAATTTGATTAAAAAAATATAGACATTTTGATTCACAAGCATAATTTCAAAATTCCAATTTCTGATTTCAAATTTCAAAATATAGACATTTCATAATTCCAATTCAACAATTCTCAATTACATAAATTTCGTAATATGACATTAACAATTATGAATTATATGAATTTCAATTTTTAAAATTTTATTCTTAATTAAACAAAATTACTTTTAAAACCCTAATTTCAAACCCTAATTTCCTTTTAATTCCTCTTAACAAGCAAAAAAAAAAATTCCAATTCAACAAATATAGGTTGGTTTATTCACAATTCAAAATTCAAAATATAGACATTTTGATTCACAAGCATAATTTCAAATTTCCAATTTCTGATTTCAAATTTCAAAATATAGACATTTCATAATTTCAATTCAACAATTCTCAATTACATGAATTTATAATATGACATTAACAATTATCAATTATATGAATTTCGGATTTTTTAATCACGATTCTTAATTAAAAAAAATTACTTTTAAAACCCTAATGTCAAACCTTAATTTCCTTTTAATTCCTCTTAACAAGCCCAAAAAAAAAACAATTTCCAATTCAACAAATATAAGTTGGTTTATTCAAAATTCAAAATATAGATATTTTGATTCACAAGCATAATTTCAAAATTCCAATTTCTGATTTCAAATTTCAAAATATAAACATTTCTTAATTTCAATTCTCAATTCTCAATTCTCAATTATATGAATTTCATAATATGATATTAACATATTTATGATTTATGAATTTATGAATTTCATAATTCCAATTTTCAATTCTCAATTCTCAATTCTCAATTCTCATATTTATGATTTATTTAAAAAAATCAAAAAATTAAAAAAATTCCAAACCTGATTTATGATTCAAAAGCATAAAACTTCACAAGCATTAGAACCCTTAATAATCTAAACCCTAAAATGTCATCCTAAAAGGATGTGTGAACAATCTGATATCGAGCAACAATTATCATTAGAACCCTAATTTCATAACCACACTGATAAAGCGTAAAAAATCCAAACCCAAATATTCAATTCACAAGCAACATCCAAAAATTCAAAAGCATAAAAAATTCCACAAATTCAAAAGCATTTACATTTCTGATTTCTGATTTCCAAACCCTGATTTCTGATTTCAAAAAATTCCAAACCCTAATTTTATAACCACACTGATAAAACCCTAACACATTTAATAATTCACATATAAAATCCTAACATTCACAGCAAATTAAAACACATTCACATTTTCACAAACACAAAAAATAAATACATAAAATTAGGGTTAACTGTCATACCACGGAGAGAGAGAGCAGAGACAGAGAGTGAGAGCAGAGAGCAAAGGGAGAGCGATAGCAGAGAGTAGAGCGAGAGCGAGAGCGACAGTGAGCTGAAGCAGAGCGAGATTGAGTGAGTCTGAGAGTAGAGGGAGATGGAGAGTCTGTTTGAGACATATAGATCGAGCAAGAGACGAAAAACCTAAGGGTTGGTTTGGGATGTCATAAAAAAGTGCACTTTTTGACTTATTAGTGGGTTTGGGTTGGGTTTGATGTGATGTGTTAGAGAGGTGATGTGATTTAAATAAGATGATGTGACTTAAATAAGATAGTGACTTTTTGACTTTTTAGCTTATTTAGTACATGCCAAACTAGCCCTAACTGTCAAAAAACGTAAATGCAAATGAGGGGGAGCTTCGTCTTTTATAGGAGTGTTAAAAACGCTTTTTCAATTAGCGTTTTCATTTAGCTACAGTGAAGTCACCATTCGAAATAGCGTTTTATTCACAAACGCGATTCACAGTGAAGTTGCTATTCGGAATAGCATTTTCCTCAGGAATGAAGTGCTATTTGGAATAGCATTTTATCGGGGAAAAAAAATTGGGGTTAAAATCGCTATTCGGAATAGCGTTTTCTTAAGTAAAATCGTGATTCACAATAGCACCTTCACTATTCATCAAATTTTGACCTCTAAACAGTTAAAGCGCGATTTGTAATAGCGATTTAGCTTAATTTGAGAAATCCGTCAAAACTAGGCCTAATTTAAAAAATAGGAGGCAAAAGAGGCTTAGTTTGGGAAAAGACCCCTCAAAATCTACAGATTCTGAAAACCTTCATACGTCTAAAACAACCCGGACCATTTTCGCCAAAAAATTTAAGAGAATGGTGGGTAAAATGAGGGAGCTTCTATTTACCCACACCAAACTCACTCTATACACACATTTAATGAAAAGGATGTGTAAAAAGTATAGTGAGGAGGATGTACAAAAAGTATATATTGTGTGTGCAAATAGAAGCTCCGTAAAATGAGGAGTTGGTGTGCAAATAGAAATAGTGAAATGACCAAATTACCCAAAAGGCGTTCAATCATAAACGTAAGAAGGAAACCCTAAAACCCCCGCCATCATTTGAAGTCGGTTTTACGCGAACGCCCCCTCCTTTTACAACAAAACGCAGCCGTATTTTCTTCCTTCCCTCTCAGCCTCCACTCTCCATCGACAGTTCGAGAGGTTTAGGGTTTTAGCCAAATCCCCAACACTTCTTCCTGCTCTCGTCACTCGCAAAACCCTAGTTCTCCTCAACCACTTGAGCTCCAACAATGGCGACCTCCATCGCCTCCCAATTGCTGGCCATCAAGTCTCTGATAAAAACTGATTCAGAGCCACAGAAGCGTCCCTTCACTCGTCCTTCAATTCTCTTCGACTCCAAAGAAGCCGCCGACATCGACCTCGAGACAATCCTCAGTATCTCTCTCTCAGGTACCCCTGATTTCGCCTCATTTCACTGCCTGTGTGGTTCCTCAGAAATTCTAAAAGTTATGATGATATTTTGTTGTTTGTGATTTGAATTTCAGGTTTGGAGGTTCTCATTAGCATGGATGAGAGGTTTAGGGATCACAAGAATGACTTGTTTAGTCATAAGAGTAGAGAGTTGGATAGAGAATTGGTGGGCATTGAGGAAAATAACCGAATCAATTCATCTATTAGTTCCTACTTGCGGTTACTATCGGGATTTTTTCAACTTCCTTCTGCATTAAAGACGCTTGAGTACTTGATACGTAGATACAAGTAACCATTATTTCTCACCATTGTTTTTCGTCTAATTAGAACCTCTCCAATCCGTACTTTTTTGCCGTGAAAATTTGGTTATAAGTTTGATTTTGCATCGAACACTCCAATCATTGTTCTCTTTTTTAATCAATTTTTTTTGAAAAATTCCAAACTTATCTTAAAACCCTGTTTTAACTTGGGGGATAAACGAACTAAACAAGCCGAACATTTAAATGTTCAAACTTGGTTTGAAATTTTAACGAGTTTTAAAATTTGTTGAAGCTTGGTTTGTTAAACTTTTGAGCCGATCAAATGAGCTTTTGTTTAGCCGAGTATGAGTAGATTGGTATTTTTATGTAGTTTTAGGCTTATCGAACCGAGTTGAATGAGCAATTGATTGTTCAAGCTTGGTTTGAAAACTTTAACAACTCCCAAATGTTTTCAAGATCGGAACTGAGCTGGGACGAGTTTTTAACGAGCTGAACACGAGTCGAGCTTGAGCTGTTTGATTCGCTTATCACCCCTAGTTTTAACCATTTTTGATGAAAGAAACCATGTCCAATTCTTTCTTTTGTTAAAATTTTCTCAAATTTGAGCAAAAGTATGAAAATTTGGTGAAAAATGTATCTCTTTGATTGGAGCTCACTTTTAGCTCTTTATTCATTGAATTTGGATTTGATGAAAGAATTGGTGAAGGATTGAAGATGCTCTTATACAAGTAACCACAACAATTCAATTGGTGTTATATGATATATGCACCCATGGATGCTTGAATAAGTACGTTTATGTGTGTATTGGTGGAATTTGTAGGATTCATATATACAACACAGAGGACCTGATTCTATGTGCTTTGCCTTATCATGACACACATATTTTTGTTCGAATTGTTCAATTACTTGACACAGGGTAAGAAAGCTTATCATTTCATGAGTTGTGTTTATACTGGTACAATATTATTTTGTCACTATTTATCTCATTCTTAAATATTTGTATTGTAGAAATAGTAAGTGGAAATTTCTTGATGGTGTTAAAGCATCGGGTGCACCACTACCTAGGAAGGTTATAGTTCAACAATGCATTTGTGATATGGGGGTTTTGGAGGTTTTATGCAACTATGTAAGTTGTTCTGCATCCAGTGATTGGTTGACTGCTAGTGCTTATTGTCATACCCATATTGCACATATTTATTTATTTATTTGTTTTGGTAGGCATCACCTACAAAAAAGATTCAACCTTCAAGACCCGTGATTAGCTTCTGCACAGCAGTTGTTGTTGAGGTTTTGGGTTCTCTTACACCTCTTGACAGTGATGTTGTTAAGAGAGTCCTTCCATATGTAGTCTCCGGATTGCAGCCTGGTGCCAAAGGTGGTTCAGATCACAAGGTAAGGTTAAAAGAATTATTATCCAGGACGCATTGGAGTGTTTTGATTTTTTCTCTTCTTTTTCTACTACTACTACTACTACTACTACTACTACTACTATTATGTCTGTTCCCATGGTATCTTGTGAGCAACAATCACCTGTAGAACTTTCATTTTGGTTGTGCATTGTGAACTTGGAAGCTATATTGTATTTTATTTTTTTTTTATAAAAAAATTAACTTACCAGTTTAGAGGTGATTGTTAGCTTGCTGAATAAGCTCACATGTATACTTGTGTTTGTTGTGTAAATGGCATATACAACTGAAAAAAGCCAAAAGTTAGGGCTGTCTTTGAGGTTGGATGTATTCCAAGGTGCATGCTTGTGTATTTTTGCATGACTGTATATTTAGCTAAACCTGTTCCATGTGTAGTTCATGGAGACTTAAGTTAATGATTTTTTAATCATAATCTTGGCCACTAATTGAGTGTAAAGACTTGTGATCCTTGTCATCTATCACTTGTTATTAGTATGTTTGGATTTATTTGCCTTATTAGATTTATACTCCCCTAAGTGAACCATATTCCGCTTACTTTTTATTTGAGTATGAATTTTCTAACAATATGAGCCCAACTTCAATGAAACATTGTCTTCTCTCATTGAAACTGGGAGCTCTACTTGCAATGATTTTTCGTTTCTAACTGCCTGCAGTCTTTATCATTTTGTATGTGTAGGCTGGTGCTTTGATGATTGTGGGTTTACTAGCAAATAGGGTAGCATTGTCTCCTAAACTTGTCAAGAGCTTGATTCGGTCAATTGCTGAGATAGCTCGAGAGGATGCTAGAGAATCTACTGATTTGCAGTGGTTTCGTATATCGTTTATGGCCCTAATCAATCTAGTTCAGGTAATGTAATTGTAATTAGGAATTGGTCTCCTATTTTTTTAGCTTTAAAACTCAGTCAATTAATTTTTTTTTTCTTGTCTTCCTTTTTTCTTGTGTCATGAAAATTGAGCTTTATTGCTAACCTTGTTTTAGTAGACTTTTGTATTTGTTGCTCCTACTGTGAATTTAAACATTTTTTTCCCCTCTTATTCTTGGGGTTCATCTTCTTATAAGCATATATGCAGTTCAAGAAGTTGCAGCGAAAGTGGAAGTGGAGTCAAAATTACGCCTTGTGTGATTAAATGTTATTATTATGCCACTAAATCTTTGTGTGGAGCCCAAGATAGCTTTTTTTTTTGGTTTGGTGTGCAACACAAGGCAAGATACTCACAATAGATAACTTGATTCAGCGAAGGAAATTATAGTTAATTTGTTTGTGCAAGACAGATGGGTAGCTGATAGCCCATTTTCTTGCTTTGCTTAATAACTTGGGATTTTTGGACGTTAGTGCTTTCTTGGTTTGGGGTGCATTGAGCTCACCCTCCAGGGGTGATGTTGTTGCTTCATTGTTGGCGAGGGACTAAGATAGGCAAAAGGTGAAAGAAGATTTGGTTGTTGATTCCATTATGTTTGATGTTTGTCATTTGGAAGGAAAGGAATTGCGACACTATGAGTGTCATTGAGAGTCCTTTGAATAAACTTAAAATTCCTCTCTAGATTGATTTTGAGACTTCATAGATCTTTTTGATACACATGGTCGCGTATAGGGACACTTTGTATGCTTACTTTTTTTTGTACATGGGTGGCATTCCCTTAATGCCTCGTTCTTTTTATGTATAGGGTAAATTACATTGACACCCCCTGAGGTTTCTGTTTAATATAGATCCTCCCTCACGTTTGAAAAATTACACTTACCCCCCTGTCAGATTAAAATAGCATATTTGCCCCTTAACCTTTATACATATAAAATAATGTTGATATTTTGTTCATGTCATTTCAAGGGAACTAACAATCTTCTTCGGTTTAACTCACAAAAAATTGTTTTTTTTTATTTTTCGTGTTTTTTTATTTTTACTGATTTTTTTAAAAATATTTTAAGCAATTTTTTTTTTTTTATTTTATTTTTTAGATACACCTAATCTGGATATACTTAAGAAATATAGGGTGTGTTTGGTTTGTGTTTTAAGATAAATTTTTCAAAAAAAAAAAAATTTGAGGAGAGAGTTTAGAATTTTTTTTGGTTTGTTTGGTTGTATATTTTGAAAATAATTTTGGAGTTTGGGAGTTTGTGATGATTTGATATTTTGTTGTAATTGAGTAGATGTGTGTGAGAGCGCTTAAGTCAAAAATTTAAGCACCCCCTGACCAGCTTTTGAGATAAGCTGAGAAATAGCTTGATTTAAGCTTTAAGCTGGTTAACTTAAGCGGCGCCAAACACAATATTTTAGCTTAAATTAAGTTAAAAGCTGAAATAAGCAGTTTATAAGCTCTACCAAACAGGCCCAATAAATGATTGAGAAGGAGAGAGGAGAGAGAAAAAGTGATTGATTGATATGTAATAAAGAGAGTAGTAATTTTGAAATTTTTTTCAAAAAATTTGTAACCAAACATGTTTTTGAAAATTTTCTTCCAAAAACATGTTTCAAAACACAAATCAAACACACCCATAATATTTTGTGTTTTTTTTTTAATTCACCAAATACAAAAAAAAAAAAAAAATATAAAAATTCTGTAATACTGTAATAAATGTGAATGACGGTGTTTGGTAATATTATAATAAATGTGGGTGAATAGATGAGAAAGAAAAATGATGGTGGAAATAAAAATGAAAAATTCTATTCATATATAAAAATTTATATACGAAATATCTTCAAAATGTTGTGATAGTGATGTTGTAAATATAAATTATGTTTATGATGTATTTTGTTTTAAAGTGAAAGGTCACAATTAAGTTATATCATTGTATTTGAAAATTTTATATAAAATTTATGTTTGTATATTATCACTCAATAAGAATATGTTCAGGTAGAATTTAATGATGGAAAGTTGTAGAATGTAGTCATGACGATAGAAAAAAGAAATGTAGGAAAAAGGACAAAATGGTCATTTAAAAAATTTTAGGGTATGACATCGGCAATCCAGGGGCAATTTTTAATGAGATTACAAATCCCAGGGAGGGAAATGTAATTTTTCAAATGTGAGGGGGGTTTCTGTATTAAACAGAAACCTCAGGGGGTGTTAGTGTAATTTACCCTTATATATAATACTTATTTGCTTATTAAAAAAAAACTTCCCTCTAGACCTAGCTGTTATGCCGTATGTGTCATATGCTCTCCCTCCTTCGCTTTTAGGTGCTACAGGGGTGTAGAGTTTGATTGTAGCTGATTATGTAGTTAAAAGGTTTATAAATTGTGGCATTTATTAGGTTTAAGAGTGGTTGACACAGGCTATTTTTTTATATTTATAGTTTTTTCTATAATTTTATAAATGCAGCAGGGAAAACAATTTACTACAGTTCACACCCTCACTTTCATTTGGAATTTTTTTGCGTAGTTGCAATCTGTTGAAATGTTCCCCAAGAAGGCTGTGGATATCCTAAAAGAAATCAGGTAATTCTCATGCTTGAATTGCAAGCGCTCAATTTAAAACTTATTGGTGATACTTTATGTTTAATTCTAGTTAAAAGGTCCTTATGGAGCATTATAATTGATTTTATAGGGATCTTATTGGTGATACTTTATGTTTAATTCTAGTTAAAAGGTCCTTATGGAGCATTATAATTGATTTTATAGGGATCTTTCGGGGATTCTTGCTGGAATGACCAAGGAGTTCAATATCGATAAATTTTTGGCTGTTTTTTTGGATTCTTTCCTTGAGTACAGGTGTGGGCATTGGTTTACAGTTCCCCCTTTATGGTTGTGTCATTTTCTTCTCATTGCACTGTCAAACTAATTATCTTTTGCTTGCAGCTCTTCTGATGAACTGTGCCATTTTACTTTATTAGCAATTATAGAGACAGTTTCTGTAAAACACTTTGTTGATCGTATAGTGTCCAAGCTACTTTATTCTTGCATGAGGTTATCGCAGAGGAAGAATGAGTTGATATCATCTGAATCAGGTCTATTTGGTTCATGGAGTGTTATTTGTTGTTTGTGTTCTACAGATTTGTTCAGTGACTGGAACACATATTTATGTTTGTGCTGAATCTGTCCATCTTTTGGATGCTCCTTTTGCACTGTTATCTTTGGCTCTTCGCTTTACCCCCCCTTCTCTTAGTGTGATTCTGTTATAATTGTTAGGAAGCTGGGCCAAGCAAATTTTAGATTCTATCAATAAGAGTTACCCTGCTGAATTTCTTGGAGCAGTTCACAAATTTCTGGAGGTGTGTTGATTACCTGCTTGGCTTCTCTCTCTCTCTCTCTCTCTCTCTCTCCTTGACTTCCTATATGTATCTTCATATAATGTTATCTATCTGCCTTTTTCTGTTCCTGTAGGACGCTAAAGTGCAATCCAAGAATGAAGATTCAATATATGAGATTCTGTGCAGGACATTAGATGGGAACCTGGATTTGTCAGTTGAGGTCTCCGATTCAAAAATTTGGTTTGCGCTGGAACATCCAAAGGTATTAAATGTAGGCTTGAACAATTGAATTTTGTGACATGATACTGAGAGGCACTATGATTTGTTTGTCTATTTGTCGTTTTGGTTTCACAAACTTTACCTTGTGTATCATTTTACTTTGATCATATGTTCCATTCATGCCCATTTGAGCTATGATTAGGTCCTCATGATTTTATTTTTGAAATGCGTGTAGGCTGAGGTTCGGCGTTCTACACTTTCAGGGTTGAATGCATTTGGCATTCTAAAGGATGAGGCTAATGGTTCAAAGGTGATATTTTGATTTCCTCTTCGTTGTGTTGTAGTGAACAATGTCTCATGATGGGGACACAGACACAATAAAATATGTTTTCATATATTTTTATTTGCTATCTAGATTAATATTTCGTCCACAAACAATCAATATTATCTAAAATTAACTCTATTTCTATATATTTTAAAAAAAGCACTTTTAAATTAACACTTACAAGTTATATATATTTTTTATAGATGATTTATTGATGGGACTTAAGGCTTGGTTTGATCTAGTAAGTATTTAAATTTAAGAAAAAAAATAAATAAATATTCAACATTCATTAAAAGCACTAAAGAAAATGGGGGAAAAGACAACTTGACACGTTTCTAGTGTGTCCCCGGCTTGTCCCTTGAAAATAAATTAATTAAATATGGGAACACGTCATGTGGCATGTCCCATATGTGTTCCGCCATATCCACATGTCCCCGCTGTGTCCATGTGTCCGATGCAGATACGGCATTTGTTTTGAAGTGTCGGTACTTCATAGAGTATCAGTAACTCAGCAAGTCAAGTTACAAGTTCATAGCAACATTTGCTTCAGTAGTCAATTATTCATGTTTCGGTGCTTTGGTTCTGAGTTGTATGTGGCCTGTACCTTGCTCATGTTGTGTAAGAAGTTCCAGGGAGAAGATTGTGCACATAGGTCATTAATTTTGCTGTGGAAAAAATTTTTGGTCAAATGGAAGACGCATTTGACCCTTTTTGTTTGGAGTTCTCTAGCATTAGTTAGGATTGCCGCTACTGTTTCCCCGAACAGATGTTACCATGGAATTGGAATGCCGCTTCTTTTTTTCTTTTCTTTTTTTTTTTTGATTTTCTATAAAATGTGCATGCAGTTGGTTTCGGCTATTGTAGTTCTTCGTTGGTCACAAATATCTGCATTTGATGGTTAAAATTTGAAACCTAGAGGTTGTCTTGGATATGAGCATGCTTTGAAGAACCTATATGTTTATTAATAAAGTGACTGAAGGCTGGTTTTTAACAAATAATCATCCATATATAACAGACCCACAGTATGGGCATGAGACAATGACGTGCAGTAAATTGTTTAAACTAGAGCTGCAACTCGGGTGGGTTTGGTTCGGTTGATGGTCTGTCCAAGCTCAACTCAAAAGTATAGAGAGATTTTCATGAGCGACCTTTGGCCCAAATTGGCATTGGGCTGTTCTTAACCAATGTACTGCACTTCTTGAAAATAAAAGAACAAATATCTCAAGCATATATAAACATGGAACAAAATGAGAAAATTAGTTTGAATTATGTGATCCAAACAGTAGAGTTGTTTGGATATGCTAATATGTGGTTGTTTGCCATCGCCAGTGTGGTGTTTATAATTGTCTGCAGATAGCTATATGGACTTCTAGAACTGTTTGTAGGCTTCTTGTGGATACTAGTTATGACAGTATCTCTTCTTTTTTGCCCTTATATCAATTAGTTTGCCCTGAAGGATCATAAAATACCAGACTGGGCTATGTTTCTTAAATTGACCATAGTGCCTTGAACTTCTAGACTGATGACTACGTAGCTGCAGTGGTGACCTGGGCAAGAGTTGCCTAGATAGTTTGGTGAGAAGTTAACAAGAGAGAATTATAAATTTTTGTAAATAATTATGTATTATTGATTGATTGATATCTTACAAGATTGATGATTTCTGTATATTACAATTCCTATATATAGAGGAGAAGATGGTAGTGGAGTGTGTGATAGTGGAGGTGGTAGGTGTGGAGAAAAATAGTGGAGGTAGTAGGTGATAATTATGTATTATTGATTGATTTTTTTTAAGTGGCATGCCCACATGCATCAGTTTCTTATCTGTGTGATTAGGTGTTGCCAATTTTCTTTTGGTGCATAAGTGGTCCACTGTGTGATCTTTTTGAGAACAAAAATGATTTTAGCATTATTCAAACAAAATATTAAGATTTACAATACACTTGGATCTAAGTTATTTACTCCATTTATCCTAATTAATTTTCTTCTTGCATCTCTAATGCTGTACCCCTCCTATTGTCCAGAGATTTGTAACTATGCAAGATGCAATATTGCGCCGGCTTCATGATGATGATCTTACAGTGGTTCAGGCAGCTTTAACTCTAAATAGATTGAATGATATTGTATGTCCTTCGGCTCTTCTTGATGCACTTGAGAATGTGCTTCAGAGATGTGTTGACATTTTAATGTCCAGTGAGTTTCTTCTAATTTATATATTTGCTTGAACCGTCTGTTTTTCTGTTTGTCTTTATTTATCCTTTTTGTAACCATGGTTGACTGAACACAAATATTCAAATATCTTATTTAGCTAAATCGAAGAATGGCATATTGAATACAATTTGTGTGAAAAAAAGTTTGAGATGAAACCAATTGTGACAAGAAGTGCATGTGATGAGGCTGTGATAGAAAAAAATGATTGTCGTGCAGAATGGGCAAAATGCCTAGAACAAGGTTACGAGGGAAAGGAATCATGACAGTCCCAAACAACTGGGATTGATAATATGGTGTGTGCTATGAGAGAGAAAGGGATTTGGGGAATTTTTTTTTTTTTGGGGGGGGTGTTGGGGGTGGTGGTGGAGATTTTTGTGCTATTGCATCTTCACTTCTGGGGCAACTTAGACTCGTATGTTAAACTTTGATTTTCATTTGAAGTTTAGTAGTATATTATGATGTTGTGCTGTTTTGAAATTTTAGACTTGTTATAATTGGAATTGAAAAAATTCTCATACTGAAGTTCAATGCTTTTTAGTTAATGCCTGCTTGGACATATTGTATGAGGTTGTTTTGATACTCTTCTACTCTCTCTTTTCAAATCTATACATCGAAAGCTTTGAAATCTTTTCTCAATCATATGTTTTACTATCATTTCTTTTGTTGCGTCAATTGATGTTTAACCACTTTGCTATTTAGGCCATGTCGCTATACTTGCAATTTAAAAAAAAAAGAAGACAATTTCGAATGTGAAACAATGCCAGCAATCATTTACAATTCTCAGGAGACTACAAAAGAATAATTTTAAATTTGAATCATTAATATAAAAACTAGAAAATTTCTGACAGACTTGATTTTTCTCCATGAAATTGGGTATCTTGAAGAATATCATTTTAAATGAATTTGGTATTTGTCGATGTCTTGTGCTGTTAGTGAGACTGATCTTAGTTAAAAAAATACCGAGTCAAGTCATTTGTAATTTCTTCATTATGAAATGCTCATGCAGATTGTATCAGTTCATGAAGTTATATCAAGAAGTTTAAATTGTCTACTTACTGAATTCAGGAAGATAAAATGCACACAACTACACTGGATGTAACTTGCATAATCATCTTATTTGATGTTGATCTTCTGAGATCTGAAGGCTTTTGTTTGGAGCTGAAAAATCTAACAGACTAGAACTGAAAGAACGGAAATCAATGAGTTATTTGTGAAAGTTTTATTTATTCAATGTCTAGAATTGGGCTGGTATAACAAAAAGTCATTTGCTTGCATGAAGCTTTTGAGGGGCTTGGCTTACTTGGACTGTTACTCAACAGAAAATAAGAACTTTGATTTTTGGCTCATCGGGATAGAGATAAGCAAGATGAAATCAGAGAGTGAATAACAAGATACATGAGTGCTGAAAAACAGGAGAGAATTTATATGAGTGTTGTTGCATTGGTTTGTCAATGTATTGAACATGACAGTATATTTACTTAATTGGTGTGGATAGTTTCCAAACTAGGCACACTACGGATTTATATGCAGCTCTCTCTCATTCAGTACTTGTGTTGCAGGTGCTTCAGATGACACATCTCTAGCTGGTGATGTTGCTGTTTTATGTCTGGAAAGTGCTATTTCAGACTTCCAAGATAAGAAAGAATTTGCTAAGCAACTTGCAACAATGATGTTTCCCTTACTGCTAATCACACAGAAGGTTCCTTGATCTTTAAGAGTTTCATGCATGAATTCAATTCACTAATAAACTTTTAAGTTGTCGTCATTTCCTTGTTGATTTGGAAATTTTCTATTACCAAATGCAGACTCAGAGATTAAATTTAAAGGCTTTAGAATCAGCAAAGAAAGTAAAGTGGCCTTTGTACCAGAATATCATCATTGCCTCCAGCCTAGAGAAGGTAAATAAATAATCTTAAAGCTTCCGTGTGACCTTTTTTTTAGGCGAAAGAAACAGCTGAATAAGAATGACAGCTTGAGATGTGGAGGGGAATTTTGAACGGAGGTTGCATAGAATTTCCAGAGGAATCCTTCTGTCCTTGAACAAAATTTTGTTTATTTTCCATCAAAACAGCCAAAATGCTTCTGTTTCCTTGGAAACCGAAATGAAGCATTAGTGAAATATTTCAATGTTTCTATCAAAATGCGCTGCAACACTTTAAAACACACTCAAAAGACAAGTTGTTTTGACATCTACTAGGAACATCCAGCAATGGTCATTTCAAATTTTATTTATTTAATTTTTTTGTCAGAAGGAAAGATTTGAAAACAAGAAAAAAACTTATTTATTAGAGAATTTGTGAAACTAGAAAGAAGAAGAGGAAAGGTACGAAGGGAAAAAAAATATGCATGATTGAGGCACTTATTCTTGATCTTTGTTAACCCAAAGTACTTTTTCTTTACAAAAATTGATGCTAGTAATTTATTTTTTCTTAGTTATAATGTTAATAAAGTTCGCGCTTTTTAATATTTTTATATTTGTTCTTAAAATAAAAATCCCCCTTCCCCAATTAGGCCATTAAACCTTCTTTGTTATAAGGTTCTTTTATTCATAGTCCTCAACATATTCAACTATTTAATTACTAAGAATGTATCAACATTTATATGGGGTTTAGTTTTTGTTTTGAAATATTTTTTTATGATTCCAATGTCTTTTGTCATTTTCCATATATTTTTGAAATGTTTCCGAAACGTTTCTGTTTCTAAGCTAAATGAAACAACATACCAAAACAAAATTTTGTTCCTTGTCTTGGAAGTCAATTGAACAGATTCCTTCAAACAATATTTTTAAATTTTGATTCTTTTATGTATACTGCTTCTTTGGAAGAGTCATTTTTACATAGATCATGGTCCTGTTTGGCGCATCTTGTTGGAGCTGCTTGTAGCTTTGTAATTATTTATTATTTTGGGAGTTTGTGACAGATTGTTTGGTGCAACTTCTGCTTATACATTATGAGAAAGAAATAACTTAGATAAGTTGAAAAAAGATGCACTAAAGAGGCCCTATAATTGGTCATGGGGAAAATATGTTTTTTTGGTATATTATGTGAGTTGGAGTTTTGAGCTATGGGTGTCGAAAGTTTGTATAATTCTGGATCTGGAGCTAAATGGTTTACATAGTTTTGAGTAGGGGTGCAACTTGGATGAGCTCAACCTGAGCAACCTGAACCCAGCCCGAATTGTTTTAGGGATTAGACAAGATATTTTCAAATTCGGTACGGGCTTAGGCAAAAATTTAGAAGCCCGAATTAAATTTGGGCGAGCTTGGGCGAAGACATCAAACAACCCGAAGCCTGAATTATACATATATAGATGTATAAAAACATTAAATATACATATAAATTATTAGCCATTACATAATATTAAAGTAATTTAGATTATTAAATCATATTGAATATAAATTATATATACAAATAACACAAAATCTAATTTTTTTATTCTCGCTCATAAATTTTAAAGACTACTATAGCGGCATCTCTGTTACATTATATAAATCATTTGTTTTGATGTTATTAATGATTTTCTAAAAAAAATGTAAATAGAGTCAAATTTTAATAGTTTAATAATGTAGTTGCCAAAAAAAAAAAAACTTAAATTCATTTACAATTCGGGTTTAACTTCGGTCGGGTTTGGGCATGCAATGTCGGGTTAAGATTCGGCCCTAAGCAAGTCTCAGCACAACTTGGGCTAGGCTTAGACAACCTCTCAATCCGCCCAAACTCGCCTAAGTTGCACTCCTAGTTTTGAGTAGGCCCCTTCAGAGATAGAAAACGGCCTAGTTGCTTTATTGAGAGATTTCGGCACCATTGAGAATTCTTTAAATAATTAGTTGCTATTTTAGTGGTTGAAGTGTTGGTTGGCATTGCCTAAGTAACGTCCGCCTCTGCTTGCACGCCTCTCTCCATCAATTGAGTTGGTGGAAGGCTACTTGAACTAGCTTTCAGAGAATCCATTCCTAAAGGAGCCCCACTTTAGAGAGCCTGATTGTATGACTGAGCAAAATTATGAACCTTTGAAAGATTTGTTTTGGCTTGATTTAGGCAGTCATGCTTCTGCTACTTTTTTCGATGATAGTGATTTGTGTCTAACGAGTGCATAATAGTAGTTGCTGGTAAGCCCAAGGGGTTGGCCTAGTGGCAAGGCCTTAGGCCTTGGGGGTGTGCTCCCCCAAGGTTCTGGGATCGAAACCTCTTAGGTACTAACAAATCCTTGGCACCATCGGACTGGGGGAAAACCCTTGAATTAACTGTGGTGCACTTGCAGGAAACTCCTTACTGAGGGCCTGTGCACCCTTGGGGATTAGTCGGGCTTTGATCCAGATAGCCAGGTGCCAATTAAAAAAAAAACAGTGGTTGCTGGTGAAACTAAAGGAATAAGGTTATATCATGCTTGATATGCTGTTACTTAGCTAAAAAAATTATGTTTGATGTACAGATGCTGAACTGGCCCCTTAAGCCTGGGAGGAATTGGGCTCCAGATATTTGGTCCTTGTAACTCAGCCTACTCCCTTGGTTGTGTATACCGGTGTATGCTACTTGTGAAGAAGTAAAAAGTTTGTCTTTTTTTTTTACTCCTAAAAATAAGGTGTTTTAATTAAATGTCAGTAATCCTTGTGATTATGTTCCCTTTTACCAAATCTTTTGTCACTTGTTTTGTTATTTTTTGTGTACATTCACGGAGTGAATAATCATAGTATTCCTGTTTATTTTGATTATCTACATTCTTGTTTAAGGTGTTTCTTTCCCTCGCCTTAAAGGGTAGCCCAAAAGATGGCAGGGCATTACTAGACCAAAGTGGCATGAACTTTGTGAAAAAAAGGTGCTCTCTTTTCTGCCTTTAAGATATTTTCTTCCCAACAGATCCATGTTGTGGATGAAATGGTTGGTTGACTTCATGATCATTATTGGGTTCTCAAAGTGGATGTTAGAGGTACTTAGCAGCTTTTAAGTTTTGGGCCAACAGTTTGCCTAATTAGAGCCTCCCTTTTTTTTGGAGGTTTTAGTTTCAAATTTGTATATTGTTCATTTACCTTTGCCCAAGTGAACCCTTTTTTATTTGTTGGTTTGGACCTTCATGTTTTATCTCTCTACATGTGAGAGGGTGTTGTGCATCAGGGAGGAAGTGAAAATTTGACTATGCGGTTTAGCCTATTCCCCAACAGCTTAAATATTTAGGGCTGCAGGTTGTCATAATCTCTTATTATGTCAATCTTTGTGATATTCTTGCTTGCTTCTTATTTTACCTTAAATGTCCTTGTTTCTTTTGGAATGTAAATCCTTCATGATTCTAAATTCTCATGCATGCTTCTGCTAAATATATTTGAATTTGCTATCTTAAAATTAATGCAGAGATTAGAACATGGACACATATCTTCTATCAATATGGATACTGTAAGAGGGATGGCAGAAATGTTTTCAATGCACCCAGATGAACATGTGACTTGGGTAGTTGAATGCTGCAAGTTTTCAGAGCTGTCAAATACATTTTTCCTCTTGGTTTTGTTGCAGTCATTCATGACCCCTAATATTGGTACACCTCTCTCTCTCTCTCTCTCACTCTGTGTGTCTGTGTTTGTGTTGTGTGTGTGTTGGTTAGTGCTGCCTAGTAATAGTTCTGCTTATGTTCAAAGACATTTTCCCATTTGGTTTTGTTGCAGTTATTTATATTGTTTTTGTTTTATCATTAGTTTCTAAGTTATTCTATTCAAACTTGTTATGTGTTTTGTGCGTGTCTAAGTGTTGTAAAGTGTCTGACAAAGGTCATGTCGGTGTCGGACATGACATGTTACCTTCTTAGAAGTGTCTATGTTTCTTAGACCCTTTCTGTTATTATCTTCCCGGTCTTATGGTCATGTCCCTATCAGTTTTCAATTTCTAAGTTGAATTACAAAGATGTTATGCTTTATGCAGATTGACATGTGGGTCAATTCAGCTTATTGTATTTGTTTTCAATGAGGATGCTTGTATGTGTTAAAGGTTCTTGTGTTTTCTATACTGTTAGTGAAGTGATATATGCGGGAATACTGTGTTTAGCTGCTGATGGGAAATTCATGCTTTTTGCAATTGCTATGCTTTTTTTTGCTTCATCAATTATCTTTTAGCATTTTATCATGCTTATCTATTTCTGTTGCATTTGCATTGAGATTACAAAGTTGCTGATGCTGATTTTTTCTTTTTTCCTTGTCAGACATTGGTCAATTTAATGCATTGTATGATGCTTGCTATCCAGTTCTGAAGACTGAGTGGAATGTGTTAAAGTCTGTGGGAGATGTATCTGCAAAAGAGGTACATGAGTGAAGACCATTGATTGTTTGGTCATGTATCTTTGTACTAGTTTTGATATTTTATTGTTGGTGTTTGCTACTTATGATTATATATCTTTTTTGTTGAGTTGCATTTTATCTGACTCTGCTATATAATGTACAGTCCAATGCAGGAATGCTGGATGGGGACTGTAAAGGATTTCTGGATCAGCTGTTTGAGACCAACTTTAAGACTAATTTTAGGCAACTGAATGCTAAGATACTAATATGTGTGTTTTGGAGGTTACTTGGGGGGTTTATTTCAACAATGCCTGCAGATGTCTCATTGGTTGGTGATGCCTGTTATTTATTTGTATATCCGTTTTCTCTTTTCGGGGTAGAAGACTGCCCCATAATTAGTAGCTGGGCTAAGTTTTATCCATCGAATTGCTGAATGTGAGCTTGTTTTCTTCCAGGATGATAATAGGAAGTGGGTATGCACACTTCAGGATCTATTTGTCTTCTTTGCTGCATGTCAGTCAAATAATGTTTTCCAGAAGCATCTTCACTTCCTAGTTACCAAATGCAAGATCTCTCCTGTCCGATTTTTGTCGAAGCTTTTCACTGAAGAAGGTTTTGATCATGGCATCCTCTTTAATTATTTGTTTTGTTTTTTTTCTTTTGTTTTAAGCAACACTTTTGGCAATTGTTAATTTCATATATATGGTAATTAGTTTTTAATAAACATACTTGGGATTCTGTTTTAATCTTTTATTTGAGTGCTAGAAACTAATGAAAGCTTTCAAGTTTGTAATTATTTAGGCAAATTTGTTTGCTTTTGTTTTACTGGATATAAGGACTAGATAGGAACTGTATTGTGTGTGCTGCATTTGAACCCCTGGTGAAATTTCTGAATGAGGAATCCCAAAGATTATATTGCTTCCATGTCGGGACATGATTAGCCGATCCAAAGAGTGAAATGGGTGGGGCAAAACCTTGTAGTTTTTAATTTGTGGAACTTACCTAATATTTTTGAAAACAAAAACTGTTGGAAGGTTAACCTTAAAAAATGCATTTCCATAATGGGCATAGTATAACGCATGTAATATATTGTAAAAATAGATGTATTATTGATTGTTGTATTGATATGTTATATTTATTACAATGATTCATGATTCCTATATATAGAAGAGGGTGAGTGTGTAGTAGGTAAGGAGTAGGTGAAGTGGAGGTGGTAGTGGTGTAGTGGGTTAGGTTTAGTGGAGTTGGTGTAGTGGGTTAGGTTTAGTGGAGTAGGTTTAAGTGGGTGAAGTAGGTGATAGAGATTTAGTGGAGTAGGTTTAAGTGGGTGAAGTAGGTGATAGGTTTAGTGGAGTAGGTGAGGTGGTATGAGAGCTTACATTTTCAACTTGTTGCTGAATTTCCTTCACTTCTAGTTCCGCTGTCTAGTGATAACCAGGTTCCAAAGCAATTTCTTTACTCTTTCTGTGATCTTGGCAGTCCTATTGAGATCCGTTGGCCATGTTTGGTTTGTTTTTCAGAAACATGTTTCCGAAGTTTTTTCAAAAACTAAAAATTATGAAATAGTTTTATCTTTTTGAAGGACACAAATAATTTTTAAAAATTCAAAAACATTTTTTTAATGTTTATTTTTGTCAAACTGGTTTCTATTTTTTCAAAAAAAGAAAAGAAAAGAAAATTGTTTCAGAAACTCATACTGAACATGGCCTTTATGTTTGTAGAATAGCTTCCTATTACTAGTAATTCTCCTTAAGACTTCTGATATTGTTTGTTTAACATCTTTTGTAATTTGCTTTAGTTGCATTACCTTATAACTGTAGGATTTATTTGATCTTTTCAGGATGTACGGATGGCTGCCATGAACTGCATTGAAGGGTTGTGCACACTATGTGTTAATTTCTCCAGATGGAAAAATGGTATTACCTTTGTAAGAGTAGCCATTTCAGTGTGTCATTTTGATCCTCCATCATCTGCTTTCAATATAGGGCTTTTGTCTAAATCCTTAAAATTGACAGGGAACAGCACAATCTGGAGTAATTTTCTCGAGGAACTTCTGAGCTTGATGGTTCAACAAAAGAGGCTGATGCTATCAGACAGAAAAGTTCTGCCTTCATTTTTAACATCTTTGCTTGGCTCTTCGTGCCATAGCCTGTTAGTGCCTCAGACAATTGGACAAAGGTTTTTACCTTTTTGTTATACTTAGTTTTCATCATATCATCATCATACTGCCATCTTCTTTCTCATAATAACCATCATTTCATTTTGTCCACTTTGTCGATATCCATAGAATAGGAAGATCATGAAGTCTATAGTTTAAAAAGAGAGTTGCTTCTGTTTCTTTAAGTAGGCCCTATGGGTTGTTGCCTATAATAAAATAAAATATTTCTTGATATCCTCTTCATCTTACGTCTTTCAATGAGTTTTGTTCTCATTAAAGAACTATTGCAATTTTAGCTGTCCTGAATCACTGCTATTATTATCTGTACTAATTTACAAATTGCTTACTGATGTTAACTTTCTGTGTTATAATTTTCTAAATTACCTTGTTCAACTGTCATTTTTCAGATTCAGTCAGTCTATAAAGAATGACATACTGGTTTTCATTCTAGGATCCGCCCTAAATCTTTCTGCATATGCAAAGGTTGGTGATTCTGATTTGGATCTACATAGTGCATGCATTGTATGTCTGTATGCAGAGAAGCTTTGTATTACTCAAGTGATTAAGATTTTGTAACTACTGCCAAGAATTTTAAAAATTTCCATAATAGCATGAACAGAAAGTAACAGATTGAGTTTTCTTTGGCAGCTAGTCATTCTATCATTGCTCAAAGGAATGGGAAGTGGAATTATGCGTGTTAAAGATGTTGAGTCATTGCTGTCTGAACTTTTAGAAAGACGCCATCAGTATCATCTTGGGCATGAAAAAGCACGTCGTAAATTGTCTAAGATTGAAGTTGAAATCTTGTGTCTTCTATTGGAGGTGGTTAAAGATGTTCTAAGTAATTTTGTCTGATTAGGTAGTACATTTTGTATCTTATACTTGGGAAATTAACAACATTGCTCTCTCCTGTGCTAGAGCTGTGCAATGCCAACTTCTTCATTTGGTGGATGTGTTTTTGAAGATCATCTATTGGGGGCTCTGCAGGTGTATATCTATGTCTATCCTTTTTTATTTGTTTTCATTTTGCTTTAAGATATCAATGCCATCAATTTCTTCTATTAATGCCGTCTTGTGTTTGCACGTACTTCACATTCAGTTGGGCAGCATGTCCTCTGAAGATCCGGCAATTGTACAGCCTTGTGTAACTGTGTTGAGGAATCTCGGTACTTCTTTGTACAGTGGTTTGAAAACTGAGAAACAGGTAACCTTTATTCTTTATTTTGATTTGCTAGAATATAATATTTAAGGTAATCAGCATGCTGAACATTTGTTAATGCCAGATTGAAGAGCATGTGTTGGTGCTATGTATTGACTGAATAGTTTGGACATGCAGGACTCTCAAATAGATTTCAATGGAACCTTTAGAAGTATAGTTATAAGCTTTATTGTATGTGGAAACTTATTGAAATGATGATTTTTTCATTTACATGTGCAAATATTGGTCTCTGTAGATATTTTTAATTAATGCTATGTCGTAAATTTATCTAGATACTCCCCAATCTATCAACATTGCTTGTGTTGTAGATATCCCTTATATCATTTCACTCTGATGATCTTGTCTGTTGAATCTATCAGCATAGCATATTTTTGCAAGTTTTGATAATTATTGTGATGCCAATGTCGTGTAGTGTTTTTAAGTTGTGAAATGTGAAAAAATTTATGTATTATTGATTGATATATATTGTTGTGTATATTACAAATGGTGAGTGGCTCATTATATAGGAGAGGGTGAGTGTAGTAGGTGAGGAGTAGGTGAGGAGTAGGTGGTGGTAGGTGATGGTAAATTTTAACAAAATGATTTATCCATCGAATTTGATATCGCCCGAATAGCCCGAATTTGTGCCTCTTGGACGATTGGCTTCACTCTCGTCTATCGTGGTCGTCACCCTTGTCTACTGTCATTCGGATGACCGGCTGGTGGACCTACTGGACGACCGGCATGAACAAATTCGAGCAATTCGGGCGACACCAAATTCGGTGGATGTAGCATTGTTGTTTTAAGTTTACATCAGCCTTTCTTTTTTCTTTTAACAAGTGAAAATTTGCATCAATATTTCTGCTTCTGTTTTCAATCTTCCAGGTCTTGACCACTGATAAATGTTGGCATTTGTAATATTGTTTCTAGTGTCAAAAGGATAAGGGGTCTATTAGATGATTTCTTTTCTTCTTTTCTTAATGATATAGATGTTTGCTTTGTTGTCACTTTTTATGTTAATTGTTTGTTTATTTATCGTTGGATACATTTTTGTGACAAATGATTCTTGTAATTATATCATTGTTTGTTCTTGGAGAGAGAGAAAGAAACTAAAACAATTTGTAAAGAAGGAAGCCCTTTCCTCTTCAATAAACCCGATTCAACAATAGTTTTCTCTTCAAAAATATATGGGAATCGTAGTTATGAAAAGGTTGTATCCTAAATCCTATGCTTCCAAATGCATTTTTTTGGGGGTCAGTCTTCCAAATGGAAGATAGTTATTATAATTTCTCTCCTAACACACATTAGAGCCATAAGCACTTGAAGCAGAGTTTGTAATTGCTGACGCCTTCAGTTATACAGAAGATGAAAGCCAAATGATTTTACACCTCATCATGTAGGCATAAATGCTTAACATATTGCGTTACCTCCTAGAATATGTATGAACGTGTTAGCATACATAAACACGTAGTATTCTCCAAAGACACCGTGTGCATCTTAACTCTATATAGTATTTGATCCAGTTCGGGCGTGTTGACACTTGTGCCAGCATTTGACTACAATTTTTCAGAGAATTTTTTTTTTTTGGTTGTTATTGCTGCTGTTATTAGCATTGCATTATGATTTGAATGATTTTATTGCTTTCTACTCTTGAGACTATAAATCCTGGGGTTCCAATTTGTTTTTCTTAAGGTAATGAAAATTGGAAATTGCATCCCATGTTACGTGCTAAATTTCACTATGTTTGCTTTCGCAGGAACAACTTTTTCGAGACCTTGTCTTTCTATTTCGGACCACTAATGGTGATATACAAAATGCCACTAGAGAGGCCTTGTTGCGTATAAATGTTTGTTCCTTTAACTTGTAAACCAAACAAGTTTTTCAAACAAATCTCTCTCTCACACAAATTAAATCAATCACTTTTTCCAAAACTCTCTCTCAAAATAATTTTCTAAAATATCTTTTGAAAAAAACCAAACCAAACAACTTTTCGTACTTTTTATCTCTAAAACACATCTCTCAAACACAAACCAAACATACCCTATAAATCCTGGGGTTCCAATTTGTTTTTCTTAAGGTAATGAAAATTGGAAATTGCATCCCATGTTATGTGCTAAATTTCACTATGTTTGCTTTCGCAGGAACAACTTTTTCGAGACCTTGTCTTTCTATTTCGGACCACTAATGGTGATATACAAAATGCCACTAGAGAGGCCTTGTTGCGTATAAATGTTTGTTCCTTTCTCTTTTCTCTTTTCTCTTTTCTCAATTCATAATTTGTCTTTTTGGTATTATTGAGTTCGACAATATTTCTTTATTCTTTTGTTGGCCCTTAATTGAATATTTGATTCTTTGTCTACCTAAGCTTAATTTGAGTAAAGAAAGTTTCATGAATTGGTTTTGTCTGCACTATATTGACCTAAAGTTTTTCCATTTGGGAATTGAGTGCTAGTCCTAGATCATAGCTTGTTAGGTGACATGTTACATATTATTGAGATCTTATACGAGGGGCTTCTTTACTAGCTTTACATTCTTGACTTCCTCATATTATTTAGTCTCTGTTACATGGTATGTATGTTAGAATGTAGTAAGTTTTCTACATTCAACACAAGGAATGGATGAGGTTTATATTTTAGTTTTCTTGGGTGTTATGCTCTCATTCAAAAGCTTGATTATTTTATACATTGTTTGCATTTGTCTTCAATTGAGCTATGAATGGTTTATTGACACCTCTCTGAATTTTGCAGTTCACTTGCTCCACGGTCATCCGGATGCTTGATTTTGTTTTAGAGCAGGAAGTTGGTATGATTGGTTTTGCACAAGGGAAGAAGAAAAAGAAACAAATGACTCATGTGTATCACGGTTTCGAGATTACGGGCAAAAATGCACTTTCTTTCATGAGCTCTCTCCTAGACATTTTGCTACTGAAGAAAGATTTAGAGAATAGGTCTGCTATAATGGTTATATCTGGTCTTGAATTATCTGGATAACTGGTTTACTGAAGTTTTGGTTAATGTTGTATTTACTTACTATGCCATTGTTTAGTCATCTTCAGAACTGTCTACTTACTGGGGCTAAGTATATCAAATCCTTGGTTTGTAGGACTTCCCTTGTAGGGCCCTTATTTAATCTCCTCCGCAAAATGTTTATGGATGACTGGGTACATGATGATGCTGACTTGGATGGGAAATGTATGGAAGCTTCATTGGACATTTCTCAAACTATTTCCAGTATAACATGTTACATTCAACAGACGCTACTGTTGATTCTGGAAGATATTAGTGCTTCACTTTTAATGACCATTCCTCTTGAGGTTGCTTAACTTTTATAGTAAAAGATGTTTTGACTAGACCTCTGTGTTTGTTTTCTGTTAGTTTCTTAACTCTTTGTGACACGTTTAATGGCAGGATGATATAATTAATAACTTTGACTTGAAACTGTTGGTTGAATGTGCCCGTTCTGTAAAGGATGGAACCACTCGCAACCAACTCTTCTCACTGTTGTCTACTATTGCAAAGGTCACTCCAAACAAAGTTTTGGACCACATAATGGATATTTTTACCATTATTGGGGAATCAACTGTCACTCAGGTCTGTTCGTTTTTTTTGTGGCCTTTGTTATTGTAATGTACTGCTCTGTTTTTGTGCAAACTTCAGAACTGTTCGATTGTTGAATTTTTAAACTTGACATGTTGTAGCCATATACATATGAATACTTTGGTTAATGTATATGTTTGTTTGTAGTGGGACAGCCATTCACAACGAGTGTTTGAAGACCTTGTGTCTGCGATTGTTCCATGTTGGTTATCTAAGAGTGACAGCATAGACACATTGCTTCAGGTGATATGATACTACTGCACTCATATATATTTATATTGCGCCTTCGTTGCAACTTGCATGCCTTCCCTCCTGCAGTCCTATAGATGGTTTCTTATTTTAGGTTTTGATTGGGTTAAGTTTGTTATTCAGATTTTTGTGAATGTATTGCCTGAAGTTGCTGAGCATAGAAGGTTGTCAATTATCATACATCTTTTGAGGTATAATTGACAAACTTTTCTTTATTCTGTTGAGTTTTTAGTTTTCACTTGGATTGACAAGCTTTCTTTTCAGGACTCTAGGAGAGAGTGGTAGCTTGGGTTCGCTACTGGTTCTCCTTTTCCATTCGTTGGTTTCAAGGAAAAGATTGTCTTGCTCTGATAGTAGTCTACCCTCTTGGGATCACTTAACTTCTCTTACTTGTATGGAATGGGAATTGTTATTTGCAAAGCAAATATTAGACCAATATTCATGCACGATATGGCTTCCTTCCCTTGTTAAGCTGCTTCAGCAAATAGACATTGGTACTTGGGGTGAGGAACTGTTTATGGAACTGCTAGTTGCTATGCAGTTCATTTCAGACAAACTGCAAGATCCTGAAATTGCATTCAAGCTTGATTCTGGTGAAGAATCAGATAACATTCAGGTTTGTATAAATTATATTGAATCTGTTTCATTCCTTGGTGAGTTATGGTCTGCTGATGAATCTGCAGGCCTGAATATAGCATCATCTGGGCCTTGGCCCCCAAGTCATATGGGAAAATAATAGGGGAGATTACAATTCAGTGTAAAAGACCAAAAATTATTACAAATACATGGGGGGTGCAACTTTTTCTGTGCAACAAAATCACAGCAAAAGTTGCACCCCCCATTTCCCACTGTCTCCAAAATAATAAAAAGAGAAAAGCAGAGGAAAATATACAGATTCCCACTGCTGCTCCCATTTATGTTGCATTATTACATAAATTGATCCATACAAATCAGGCACTGCCTGAAGAACATTGTGGGCAATCTTTTCTTTGATTTTAATTTTAAGAGATAGGGTATTACTTGACAGTACTGTGACGGGCATAACTTGGATATTATCTAACAAGAAGATTATAATTAAGAACATGAAAACAGTTTCTGGACAATCCAATTGAAACATAGTTACTTTATTCAAACATATTTTTCTGACAAGCTTTGATTACCTTTACAGAGAACACTTGAAGAACTTATGGAGCAGGTTGTTTCTCATTTACAACTGGTCGACTCAAGAAGAAAGCAATTAAGTTTTCCTGCTGTCATCAGGAAAGAACTAAAGGATCATATGCACAGTGTCCTGAAGAATATTACAAAGGGGCTCATGCCCTCGTCATACTTCCAAGGGATGATTAAGTTGCTGAGACATGCAAACAGAAGTGTGAGGAGAAAAGTAAGTAATACATTATTTACTATCATGAATCATTTTGTGTTTGAGGGACAATAAAAAGAATTATTTTTAACTTTTAGTGGCATTTCATAGCACTGTTGTTCGTGGCAAGGTTGGACTGTGAGCTGATATGTGCAAGAATATTCAATTAGAGATTTCCTTGGCTGGAACTCGTTATAGCCATTACTCCCAATTCCTATGGATTCTTTTATGGTCAGCCACTTAATGTACCTCAGGCTTTAGAACAGTTAAAATAAAACTTTAACTTCCCAATGGGAAATAGATGTTTCTTCCAAGGAACAAAATTTCGTTTATTTTCCATTGAAATGTTTCCGTTTCCGAAGAACTGAAATGAAACATTAGTGACACTGAAATTCCAATGTTTCTACTGGAAAACATTGAAATGCACTGAAACACTACGAAACATATCGAAGCAATGAATTGTTTGGTGACATATTAAGAATATTTAACATTGCTTATTTCTACTTGCCTCTCTTTGTCAAAATCAAAATTTGAGTTTAAAGGAAAGTTCTGAAAATCTGAGAAACTAGAGAGAAGAGAGGATAGAAAAACATGATTAAGTCATGTATTCTCTTTCTCTGTTATCGCAAAGTACCTCCCCCCACCAATATTCCTACTGCTAGAATTTTTTACATTTCTCGTTCTTATTATTTTTTACAATGGCAATTTGTTTCCCCAGCTATTCCTTTAAACCTTTTGTTTATGAGCTTCCAATATTCTAGATCTCAGCATATTCAATTATTAACATTTGTATGGGTTTTATTAGTTTTTGTTTTCAAGCATTTTCAATTTTTTTTTTCATTTCCGAAACGTTTCCCGAATACTAAGAAGCATAGACACGGATATGGACGTGGACATGGGACACGACGATTTAAAAAAAAAAAGGGGATATGGACATGGCGGAGACACGGCAATAAAATATGTTATATGCTTTTATTTACTATCTAGATTAATATTACATCCACAAATAATCAATATTATAACAAAAACTAACTATAATTCTATTTTTTTTATTTAAAAAAGCACTTTTAAATTAACACTTATAGTTTATATATTTTTTTATGGATGATCTACTAAATATTTAAATCTAAGAAAAAAATAATAAACATTCAACATTCATCAAAAGTACTAAATAAAATGGGTGAAAAGTCAACTTGGCATGTCCCTAGTGTGTCCCCGAAGTGTTCCCTGTGTGTCCCCTGAAAATAAATTAATTAAATAAAGGAACACGCTATGTGGTATCACCCATACATGTCCCCGAAGTGCCTGCGTGTGTTTGTGTGTTCGATACGAATACGGCACTTGTTTTGAAGTGTCGGTGCTGCCCAAATGTTTCCATTTCCTAGCTAATGGAAACAAAATTTGGATCCATGGCTATCTCATACCAAATGAATATGTGGCTTTAGTTTATATATATATGTATTAATTTAGTTTTTTTTTTTTGGTTTCATAATTATCTTGTTGTCTGCTTAATGGTTTGGAATTGTCATCTTGGAACAAATAAATCAATGCCTTTCATGCAAGCAGGCTCTCGGGCTTCTATCTGAAACTGTGAGAGACTCTGGGACGATGAAACCGAAGCATGAGAGAAGGGGATTGACTTCAAAGTCTACAAGTTCTTGGCTTCATCTGGATGGGAGTGCTGTGGAGTCATTTAAGAAGATGTGTTCAGAAATTCTGACATTAGTTGATGACTCTGTTGATGATTCTAATACTTCATTGAAAGTGGCAGCAGTTTCAGCACTGGAAGTTTTGGCGTACAAGTTTTCTTCTAATTATTCTATCTTCAACATGTGCCTTGCATCTGTGACGAAAAATATCCAGTCAAATAACTTGGCTGTCTCTTCCTGTTGCCTTCGGACAACTGGGGCTTTGATCAATGTGCTTGGGCCAAGAGCCCTTCCTGAGCTTCCTTCTATCATGGAGAATGTGCTGAGGAGGTCTAATGTTTTCTCATCTGTTTCTGCAATAACTACATCTGGCGAGGATAATGCATCTATTCCATTAACAGATTCTAAGGAATCTGTCTACATGTCTGTTCTTTTTGCATTGGAGGCAGTTGTTGACAAGCTTGGTGGTTTTTTAAACCCGTATCTTGGAGATATTCTAAAACTCGTAGTGTTGCATCCCAAGTATGCTTCTGGATCAGATCCAAAATTAAAATTTAAAGCTGATGTAGTTCGAAAGCTTATCACTGAGAAAGTCCCTGTAAGTTGCTCTATCAAACTTGATGGTTATATTTGGTTTGGCACTGTGGTTGCATTAAGTAATTGTCAGCCTCATCTTTCTACTGACCCGTGTTTTGCTTACCAGGTTCGACTTTTGCTTCCACCACTGCTGAGTATATACTCCAAGGCTACCGAATATGGGGATTCAAGTTTGTCAATTGCTTTTGAAATGTTGGGGAACTTGGTCCGAACAATAGATAGATCATCAATTGCTGCTTATCATGCAAAAATTTTCGACTTGTGTTTACTAGCACTTGATCTTCGCCGTCAACATCCTGTTTCAATTAGGAGCATTGACATTGTTGAGAAAAGTGTTATCAACACAATGATCTTTCTTACCATGAAACTTACTGAGACAATGTTCAAGCCTCTTTTCATTAGGTGTATTGAGTGGGCTGAGTCAAATGTGGATGAAAGTGAAAGTGTGGGAAGCACAAGTGTTGATAGGGCAATTACTTTCTATGGCTTGGTAAATAAGCTTGCTGAAAGCCATCGGTGAGTCAATAATTCCCTTTGTGTGTTTTGAGTGTTCTTTTTTTCCTGGTGCTTCTAGTGTATAATAATGATTAATTTTAGTAGATAACTAAACCTTGTGGTACAGAGTTTGGGAACAGCCACACATCTCACCTACTGTGGAACCTAGTACCCGTTGGGTTCAAGTGTTGACTTCATAAATGAGCATATATATGTTGCTTAATTAGAAATGTGAACTGCAGAAGTAGGTGTAATATATTTGTTTAATTGTCACCCCCACCCCCCACCAAGAAGATTAGGTGCTTTGTTGCCTTTACATTCATTGTCCTAATTGCCTAGGCCAGAGGTGCACCAAGGCACATCTGAGGGGCCTCAACAACCTTGAGGCAATTCAATTTCAATGTAGCGTAGCCGAGGCGCTTGAGTTGCGCTAGACTCAAGGCACTAAAAGGCGAGCACCTTTTTCAATTGTGCTTAATTTGCCAAAGATGTGATATTAACCTTTTGATCTATTGAGACCCATTATAATGGTATATGTTGCTGAACATCCTAGCAAAGCTCCCCTAATAAATAGATAGCCTTAAACAACAAATTGAAATACATACCTAAACTTTTATATTGACTTACGTATAATTTTATTTGTCCTTCCCTTTAGACAATGACGACGACCAAGCAATAATTTGATCGTCCTTGTCCATACTTGATCACTGTTAGAATTTACCATCACCTACCACCACTACCACCTCACCTACTCCACTACACCTAACCCACTACACCACTACCACCTCACCTACTCCACTAAACCTAACCCACTACACCACTACCACATCACCTACTCCACTAAACCTAACCCACTAAATCCACGTCCTTGTCCATACTTGATCACAAATGCAGAATATCGCTTCAGGAATCTGGAAAGTTAATTTATTTATTTTATTCAGTTTCATTGATTAAATTCCTATTTTTAGAAGGTTTTCTTATGTTTTCTTTGTACTTTCGCCCAACTCTTTTCCTCACCATCCATTTGCTCCTCAACCCTGTTATCAATTGTAATCTAGATGTTTAGGCTTGCTAAAGAAAGAAAGAAAAGAGAGGGAAAAAAATACCAAAAGGCCTTGTTTGGTTTAGTTTTGAAACCAATTTTTGAGAGCTCAAAACCCAAAATTTGTTTGGTTTACAATTTTCTCTAAATTTCTTTCAATAACTTTTTCTGTCTCCTCTCTCCTTTCAAATCTTACACATCAATCAACCATTTTTTTCTCTCTTCTCTCTCATTCTCTCACATCTTAAACATCAATTAATAACTTTTTCTCTCACACCCATCTATTCAACTACTAAAAAATCACAAATCATCCCAAACTATAAAACTCTAACTACTAAACTTTTTTCAAAATGTACTAATAAACAAATTTCAAAATTTGGAAACTCTTTTAAACAACTAATCTTTCAAAATTGATTTCAAAACCGAACCAAATGGGCCCTTTATGTTTAGTTGTGTATTTGTAATTTTATTGTTCTAATCATTGCATTTGGATGACTGGATTGCATACTAAGAAGCGCGGACACGTACACGTGACACGACACGAATACGACACAGATACGCCGACACTTTAATTTTCAAAAAATGCAGGACACGACACGTAGGGGACACGCATGAAATATATAATTTTATATATTTATTATATGTTGTATAGATGAATATATCCTTCAAAGATAATAAAAAATGCAATATAACACTAATTCCAATAAATTTATGTGGTTTTTGTTTTATTATTGTATCTTAAGTTATTTTATTCAAATTTATAATTAGTTTCACATATGTCTAATCGATAGACACGTGTGTTTAAGCGATTGACATGTGTGTCCTCCAAATGTCCAAAGAGTGTCCGGGTCTTTAAAAAACACGTTTTGAAGAGTGTCGGACACGTGTCTTAAGAGTGTCCAACGAATGTCGGTGTCCGACACGGACACGACACGGATACGTCACCTTTTTAGAAGTGTCCGTGCTTCAGCTGACAATTTCATAAATTGTCCTTGGATAGCTAATTTAGACCTGATCTCGATGACCTTGGTTTCCATTTGCTTCGTTTGAGGGATTGGGTTTTGAGTCAAGAGGCTGTCTCAGTATTTTTGTGATTTATATTCTAGAATGTTCTCACTGTTGGATGAGGAGAGCTTACTGGAGAGGAATATACGTGTATACATACAAATTATAGATTTAAGGCTGACAGTAGATTTATGGTAGCCAAGCTGTATTATATCTTTATTTTTAGGACTTTATTTTTTAAGAACATGCTTATGGTTCCTTTTCAACTATTTTCTTTGGTTATAAGGAGCATTTAGGCTTTTTTCAGTTAATTAAAATTGTGTAGAATATATCTTTACACTTTCTGGCTGCTGATATTGTTGTTTTCCAAGTACAGATCGTTGTTTGTTCCTTACTTCAAGTACTTGCTTGATGGTTGTATACGGCACCTGACTGGTGGTGAAGATGCCAAAATTGCTCTGCCACGTAAGAAGAAGAAGGCGAAACTTCAGGAAGTGAAAAGTAATAAAAATGATGGAAATGGTACATTGACATATGACATATGGCATCTTCGGGGTTTGGTTTTATCATCCTTGCATAAATGTTTTCTTTATGATACTGGAAGCCTGAAGTTTCTTGATTCATCAAATTTTGAGGTTTGTGAAACACCTTTTTCACCTTTTATGCTTTCTATATGCGCAGCATTTACACTGATTTTTAAATTGTTTGTATGCAACTTGTGTGCTTGACATATATGAATCAGCTTTGACCATATGGTGTCCATAACACAAAGCAAAGAGTGATTTCCTGATTAATGGATGTTTTTTAGTATATTATTGAACTACTGTCATGTCTGATAATTTCAATTTTCGATTCTGCCTTCTCTTGTTTGGCCTTCAGTTTGATTAATTAATTTCAATATTCAGATGTTTTCTAATTTTCTCAGGAAATTTGCTTACTTAAATCATAGTTTTCGTTGCTTCTCTGCTCATGTGCCTCACAGTTATTTTAGTCAGCTTCACCTTGGTCTATTTGTTGGTTACCCCACACTATGGTGTACAAGGAGTCCAACGTTTGTTGTTTTCCTCTTCAATGTTTACTAAAGTTGACATAGCTGTATTGCACTTGTTGTTTATAATGTAAAACTACTGCAGAGGCTTTTTGTTCAACTCAAGGAAGGGCCATTCTAGAATTGATGCTAGAACTAATGAATCAATTTTTTAAAAAAAAATATTTGATCAGCATTCTTTTGGTAAGTAAAACATACATTAGAACGAGTGCCAAATGGGGCGCAGCTTGTATACAAAAACTCAAGAATATCAGGAAGGCTCGACCCCAAAATTTAACTCAATAGTGAAGTCTACAAGGAGTAAAGCATATTCACAAAAAAATCCTTTACTCTAAAAATGAAAACTTCACATGTCTTTCTTCATGTCCCTCGTCTGCTGTTTCCTTATAATTGAAATTAATTTTGTTTCTGCAGGTCCTGTTGAAACCCATTGTCTCGCAGCTAGTCGTAGAACCGCCAGCGTCTTTGGAAGAATATACAAGTATACCATCTATAAAGGAAGTTGATGATTTGTTGGTTGTGTGTGTTGGTCAAATGGCTGTTACAGCTGGCACTGACCTTCTCTGGAAGCCCCTGAACCATGAGGTGAGTGTAGAATTTTTTCAGACTTGACCACATTGCATGTTGTCAATGCTCTTAGCTGTGGACCTCAACTTTGGGGGTTTAAAACTTAAATAATGAGCTGTGCTTATAAAATACAAGCAAAAACTTGTTTTGGACTAAAATCTCTCTCTATTAAGTCTATGATTGTCATGTACAATCCATCCTGTGCTTCATATTGATTTCTAAGTTATATTGGTATCATGTTCCATGTGGTAGCAGTCCTTGATATACTCTGTGTGTGTGTGTGTGTGTGTGTGTTGGGTACAATTCATTATGTGCTTCATTTTGATTTCTATTGGTATCCTGTTCATGTCCCCCAATGTTCATTTTTATGCCTTTGTGGCTGATAGTAACCAACAGACAAGTTGAAGTTTATTATGATCAATAAGCACGTGGAAATCATAGCCTGCAAAAGAAGGTTATCACCGGTACTGGTCCCATGTGTGTAGGATGAGGAGAGGCGAACTAGGCACAATGCTGCTTTCTCCTAGTGCAAAAAATAAAAATAAATAAATTGCGTAAGTGCTTCGTAGCTTCAGCTTTTGTATATTAAGGTTGATGATAACCTATGAACCAATTGATGTTTTTCATCCTTTAGTTCACCCAGCAGTTAAGACATTATGGCCTGCAAAAGAATTCCATCACCCAGTACCATTCCGCCACTGGGAAAATAAGTAGCCTTGGAGCACACACTCATGCACACACACACAAAAGGAAAAAAAGAAGATGTGAACACTTGCACATGCTGGACTGCCTGAGCTTTCCTCATGATGTCTAGCTGTGGCCCTTCAGATATTTTTTTCCAAGGTTAATGCTTGGTCAAAGTTATTTTACAAGCTTTGAAAATAGTCAGAAGTATGAAAATGTAAGCACCCCTGCCTATCTGCCTTTCTGCCAAACTAGCACCCCCATTTATTCCACGGGTGTCCCCATACAGTGCTCTATTCTTGTCTAACTTGTTTAACTAGTCTTCCCTGCTAGTTTCCTCTGACATTTTCCCAATATTTGGTAAATTGGGTTTTATACAAATCGTAAGTTTTGATTGTGTTAATAATATCCTTTGATACCATAGTGGTGCATATGGGTTACGGTCACAATTGTAGGGTTTGTTATTTTTGTTGCTTTTTGCTTGGTAGGAGGATGTGGAGGTGGGGCTCCCACCCACCCTCGTGTTTTTTGTTGCTTTTAATGTTCGACTCTCTGTGTTTTGTGTGTGTCCCCACTATGTGCGCAGAAGCATCAAGCTCTCTTTATACACGTAGATTCTTCTTTCTCATTCTTCAAACAGACATTGACCTTCTTGCTTGTATTAGTTTCGATCTTTACAAGTCTATCTATTTTATAGCTGGTGCGAAATTTCATCATTTTGTTCCCTTACTCCTTTGTCTGTATTTCCAAAGACTTGTCCTCAATGTGTTTTGGGCTTCAAATGACTTTGGTTTTTATTTGTTTTCAATTATGAATTTATTTTTGTTATTGCAGGTCTTGATGCAAACTCGTAGCGAGAAGGTTCGATCCCGTATGCTAGGCCTGAGAATTGTTAAGTACCTTGTGGAAAATCTTAAAGAAGAATATTTGGTGTTCTTAGCTGAAACCATCCCATTCCTTGGTGAATTGCTGGAAGATGTTGAGCCTCCTGTCAAGTCGCTTGCACAAGAGATACTCAAGGAAATGGAATCCATGAGTGGTGAAAGCCTTCGGCAATACTTCTGATGTTGTACATTAACCATCTCTGTATGCAATGATAAATGTTGGAGAAATGGCAACAATATACGTCTCTATACCTATTTTATCACATGTAAATACGTGTTAACTTTTTTCAAGATTAGTGTAGATGAATTCAAAGAGTTTTGATACCAAATTCAGATTTTGGGGAGCAAATTTTTGTAACCAGCGATGCTGCCCTGATATTTGTCTCAACTGTCTACTGTTATACGCAAGACAGGAATTGAAGTTTGATTTGTCTTTGCTAACTATGGTTGGTTCCCTAAGTTCTTTAATCCTCATCGGATTCATTTGGTTGAGTGTAGAAGATAGGGTGTTAAAAGTAAATTCCGCTTCTCTACTAAATTTTCTTCTTTCAACACAAAAATGATAGTGCTTCCCTCTCTCCCAAAGTGTTTTCTCTATCCCTCTCTAAAAAACACTTTCTTGAATATTCCATATAATCTATATAATATGGCATAAGAGCTTTTGAAAATGTCTCAAAATATGTTAGATACATATGATTTCAATGGCTTGGTTTATACTTATCAAGTAATTTAAGAATCAAGATGAAATCTTTGTTTTTGCTTATCCTGCTCAAATATAAGACTTTTCACTCTCTTTTCCATGTTATACATACATTCATGCTCTTTTTACATACTCTAACAACCTTTCTTTACCTCTATTTTCCTTCCGTTTTTCTCAAGTTTCAGTTCTGCAATATTAATAGGTGACACTTCTATGATCTTTAACTACGGTAGTTCTCTCTCGCTCTCTCTGATCTCTATTATTTGTCAATCTTATTTGTTTATTGCGAGGGTATTAACAGTTCAATTTTTTTCAAACTATAAAATATGATGCCTGTAGATGTCTTCGAACGCCTTGGGAGGGAATCCCGTTTTGTTCGTTTGGGCTCACTACAGTTCAGGACTCAAATTGTCACAGTACTTAATCTGATCTTACAATGTGCGATATGAGACTGATAAATCACCAAAGAGTCTAAATCCGGCAAATCGTTTTGAAAAACAGGTTTTTTGAAAGAAGTGCCAAATATGGACTGCTTTGCCAGATACAGAGTCACCACTTAAATGTTTTATTTTGGGAGAATTTAGGAAACCCTGACTCGTTGCCTAAGGTCACGTGTTCGTCATCACCAAAGTTGCCTTGGCTCGGGAATTTGGGTACGATTGGAGAAAGTCAACTATGAGCACCCCTGCTTGCCCGATCCGAAGATCGGCTTGTACTAACCATGATATCTAGTTTTGAAAATATTATGCATTCTTATTCCGGTTATTAGCCTAGATTTATTATGTGATGCGCACAGCATACAAGTATAGATTGGATCGCCTGAATTGGAACAAAACATTTCATGTTCGTTTTGAAAACGGTTTGTTACTTGCAAGTAGGCTAAAATATGGATTTGCCACTCTCAAGTGGGTTTTAAAACTCACAGTCAATGCATTATTTCAATTCTGATAATCTAATCTTCACCCATAAGCATTCAGGCAGTTATATCATATAAGCATATAGCCTCATGGTAAACATGCTGTCATGGCAACACTCACACTCATGTAAGGATGCTAAAGCGTAAATGTTTACCGAGTACTCCAAGCCAAAGAAAGAAGCCAATTAGATATCATGCATGAGCCCTAACTATGCTGAAATGCCTAATGCAACACATGCAAAATGCAACTATAGTAGGCTCGGCTATTCTAAGATGGCATATGAAATGCTACAACTAACAAGTATTCAACTCGGAATTAAGATACAAATGCAGTTAGTATAATGCGCCGAGCCCAGTGCATGCAAGACAGATGATCCTGTTTATTGGCGACAAACACGGGCGACCTAAAACTTTTTTGTCGGGAACTAAGTGAAATTTTGACATTTGGCGACTAAAAATCGGACCTTTGGCGACTAAAAATTTAGTCCGCCAAAAAGGTGTATTTTCCTTGTAGTGTAGTAAGGTTTATGAATTTTTAGATGATTAATTGATTGTAATAATTAATTAAGTGGGGTATTTAAGGTTTTGAGATTTTTAAATGATTGATTAATTTTAATTATGTTGATTAGACGTATTTGTAAGGTTTAGGATTTTTAGATGATTAATTTGATTTGTAATAATTTTAATTAGTGGGGTATGTAAGGTTAGGAATTTTTAGATGATTGATTAAATTTAATTATGTTGATTAGACTATAGTGTAGGTTAGAATTTTTAGTATGATTAATTGATTGTAATAATTTTAATTAGATGGTATGTAAGGTTTAGGGTTTTAGATGATGTGATTAATTTTAATTAATTTGATTAGACTATATGTAAGGTTTTTAGAATTTTTAGAATAATAATGTGATGTAATTAATTTAATTAGATGGGTATTTTAAAGGTTAGATTTTTAGATGAATTGATTTAATTTTAAATTATGTTAATTGATATCGTATATGTAAGGTTTAGAATTTTAAGATATTAATTGATTGTAATGAATTTTACAATTTAGTTGGGTATGTAAGTTTTGGGATTTTTAGATAACTTGATTGATTTTTAATTATGGTTGATTAGATGTATATGTAAGGTTTAAGATTTGTAAATTGATAAATTGATTGTATATAATTTTTAATTTAATTGAGTATGCAAGGTTCAGGATTTTTAGAATGATTGATTTAATTTTAATTAGGTTGATTAGTTGTATATTAGTTTTAGGATTTTTAGATGATTGATTAATTTTTAATTATGTGATTAGATGTATACTGTATAGGTTTAGGATTTTTAGATGATTGATAATTTTAAATTATTTGATTAGATGTAATAGTAAGGTCTAAAATTTAAAGATAATTATATTGATTTTAATTATATAATATAATGTTTAGAATTTTTTAAGCGATGACCATAATTTTTATTATTTACATTAGACGTTAGTAAGGTTTAGCGTTAATCTTTTTTTTTAGATGATTGATTATTTTAATTATTTGCATAGTGGTAGCAAGGTTAAGGTTTTATTGGGGTGACTTTAATTAATCTTTGAGTGATTCTGTTGATCTTCAACCAATAATTTGTGAGTACAAAATCCACTTCCCTTGATTTATTATTTAATTCTTTGTTTTTATTTATTTATTTAATTATTAAGTTTGGATTTTGTATTCAGACAAAGATGATAGAATGATTTTTAATTATTTGACTAGTGTGTAAATGTATAAGTTTAGGGTTTATAGATGATTGATTGATTTTAATTATTTTGTTGGTTGTTTATGAAGGTTAGGTTTAGAATGATTGATGTGAATTTTAATTATTTGATTATTCATGAAGGTTTTAGGGGTTTTTTTATATGGATTGATTTATGATTTAATTCGACCTCATGATTATATAAAATTTAAAATAAACTAGAAATTCCATAGATATTGGTTATAAGGATTGATTGATTCGTTGTGTTTTATTTATTTATTTTTATTTTGTGGATTGATTTTGGTATTTTGCATGTAAATGAAGGATGATTATTTACTTATTGGATTAAGTTGTGTTGCCATGTTTATGATATTTATATGGATTTATTTTTTAAAATTGGTTGTAATACACTCATGGTCATGATGAAAATTAAATTAATTTGAACCTTAGATATAAGTTCCTTATACTTCCACCATGACTCCATGATTGTTTTTTATTTGAAAGTGATGGGGAGAAAGAGTGTAATAAAAAACAGTGAGATTATGAGAGTTTTTTAATGCCTTATGCCCGCATGGTTATATTTGTCTCATGATGTTGATGAGAATGTTAATTTATATTAGTTGCCTGTACTGTCGTTCTCTATGAGTATGTACGAGTGTTTTGATTTGCGCGCGTACGGTATTGCTAACCATCCGGGGAGTGTGAAGTTCAAACTCGGACGAATTATCCCCGTGCAAGTATTGGCTTCGGAAGCGGTGTTTTTAGGGTATTCGGGAGGCACATTGGATATATATGTTCAGGCCGTAAGGGGAGAGTCCGAAGTGGTGGAGTTAAGGAATAAAGATATTTAAATTATGAATTTATTAGAATAATGTGTATGGTACTGTATGTACATGATAAAAAAAATAGTAAACGATTCTTGATAATTTATAAAATTTGAGCAAAAAGCATGTATACGAGATTTTTGGAACAACTCTTGTGTTGTAGCTTTTTATTAAAAAGATCGAAATAGAACTTATAATCGGATGACCCTTAGATAAAATTCTTGGAAAATTTGGGCTTTGGGTTTGTAACCTTACATTATTTAAGTTGTTTTAATATTTATTTGATTACTCGTAACGTTGGATATCATTAGATAGTTTTATGAAATTATGGTTGCATGGTATGTATTTGGTGTTTTGTTAATTTACCTATATTGAGACTAGAATGTTTATATTTTTGTTTCACCCCTAGATTATGGATGATGGAACTATTGATTGGGTTAGTGTCCCTAATTTAATATTTAATTTGTTCAAATTTTGGGGCGTGACAACTTATCTCCATACTCCTTAGGTTTATCAACAAAAAAAAAGAAAAAAAGCCACTTCTTTCATAGCTTTCGCGATATTTAAAAGCAAGAATATTTTTCTCTTTGAAAAAATTAACTTATTTTATGGTTTTTTTTATTCTGATTAATAGTAATACTGTAAATGTAGGGTCTATATCATCCAAGAATTATGTTGATGGTGATGATTATTTTATTACAGATTTTGTTATATAACGAATAAGAACACACAGTTAAATGTATAGAATAAGGTAACCTATTAAAACTTAAATATATAGTATCAACGCGAATATATCTTCCTCGTAAATCTGGTTGTCAAGTTTGCACTCTCCAAAACAACGTTGCTTCCTACCTAAAACACAAAACGTGAGTTAACCGCGGGTGTGTGCCGGAAACCCTCAAGATGCCTAAGCAGCATAAACTTAGACAATATGATAATAAGCTCTGTGTATTCTAAGAAGTAAAGAATTGGGATACCTGTACAAGGTCTGGTCATGGAGCTTTTTATAGACTCCTCTTGGCACACATCCTAGAGAATCCAACTCTCCCTATAAGATCCTTCTAGGAACAACCTGAACCTACTCACTACCAACTCAAGTGAGATGGTTTGCACAATTCTAGTAGGACTTACTCTCCTTTCAGAGTCTCCTAGAAGTCACACCCTACTTCACAGCCACCCAAGTGAGATGGGTTGGCACAATCCCCAGTGGACTCTAACTCTCCTTAAGCATAGTCCTACTCAGGAGTCTCAATCCACTGCAAGCAAGTGAAATGGCTGAATCTTTACCTCAGTTATACATTCCTGACCGAACTGGGCCTTATCTCGGTCC